CGCGACCCACCCCGCGACCCACCCGCGACCCAGCCCGCGATCCACCCGCGACCCACCCGCGACCCACCCGCGACCCACCCGCGACCCACCCCGCGACACACCCGCATTGCTTTAACGAAAAAATCGGCGCCTGCGGCGGGCTTCTTCAAAGCCTCGCCGACTGCCGACGTCCTTGCCGCTCCCTCACTGTTATCCGCAACTGCGGGGTTCTACGTGGTAAGATATGAATTGTCTGCGCACCAACAAGTGTTCATCAAAGTCATGGGGGCACAAGGTTTTACGCTGTCTCCGGCAACTCGACCGTACAGGTGCTTCGCTGTACGGACCAGCGTGGATCATCATAACAGACACGTATGGCAGGGATCTGACACCTGCTTGGCAAAATGGTTCGACGCCTCTGTATTTCTTACCCAACATCTTAATTGAAGATCGCACGGGTGGCGAACAGGATGAGGACGAAGGGCAGGATGAGGATGGAGGAGAAGGAGGTTGATATTCGAAGATTGCAGGGACGCTGAGGGGACGGGGGGATGAAAGGCGTGCGAAGAATTGAAGAAGGGGCGATAAGAAGACTGAACTGGATTGAGGGAGGGAGATGAGCCCCCAAGGTCAAGCTACCCACCTGAATCCATAGGATGATCCTGGGCTGTGATCTTCATCCTCCTGATCATTCTCCTCCGCCCCCCTGCTCGTATCCTCAAGCGTGCCATCCAGCAAGCTTCTCAAGAGGCCCCTAAGAGACCAGACTGCTGCGAGATGTCACTGGATTTCCCCAAGAGTGTCTGAACAGGGCTCAGAGAGGGCCCCAGGAAGGCCCCACGACAGCTTCAAAAGGGGCACCCAGACAGGTTAAACGCGTTGTGCTAGCACTATTGTTCCTACTTTGGGATCTCTTGGAACCCTCTGCGGGACTTAACGCCCGGTTTGGTCATGGGAAGTGCGGGCTGGGCAAACGACATGCGCAGAAACGTGGGCAAGCGACGGAACCGATGTGCGCGCATGCGGGATGCTAAAGAGAAAGCGCAACTCGCGGGGCTGCTTCAAATCTCTAATTCAACTCGTTCGCCGCCACTTCTCCTCCTGCTCTTCGCTCTGGCCCTCCTGATCCTAATCCTCCCCATCCTGAACCTTCGCATCCGCCTCCGCCTCCTCCTCCCTGTTGTCCTCCATCCCCTTCCCGTCTCTCTTCCACCAATAACAAAAACTCCACACTCAGAGCACGAAAGAACACTCCAGCAAACATCCACAGACAGCCAGACACCCACGACAAGCCCACAGAACTCCTCAGGAGGTCTCGAGACGACGACCGCCACCACGACGACGACGACGACGACCATCACGGCCAAACTTGAAAGGCAACGGGAAGGGTGGATCAACTCGGTGGGGGGGACATTGAGCTTGCGTCGGCGAAACCTCGCCGATAGATCGGCGATGGCCCTGCGATAGCGAAACCACGCGCGCGCCTGGGCGGGCTGAGCTGTCAGGCCCCGGCCCTGTCAGTGGTCATTGTGCGATTGGGGGTCGATGCGTCCCCCCCCGGAGCTTATCCCCCCTAACATTATGTCGGGCGTGTCCCCCTACAGGGGGATTTTCGACGAAAAATCCGCCGGCCCCCTTGTGGGGCCACCAGGCTGTAGGCCCATGATTCGCAGTTTCCTCTACCAGTCGTAGGTTGTAGTTTCCAGTGTTACAGTTCTGCTTCTTGCTGGTTACTGTAACTAGTTGACTTATTGCTGGTTACTGCAACTAGTTGATTGACCGCGCGAGGGGGGCGGAGGCCCAAACCGGCTTTTTAGCACCCCCTGGGCGCGTTGTCTGAATTGCTGGGGGGGCTCGAAATCGACACCCCTCACGCAGATCCGCGGGGTCAGGGTCCAAAACACAGGGGATTTGCCACATTTCTGAAATTCGGTGCCACCCCTCACGCAGATCCGCGGGGTCAGGGTCCAAAAACACATGGGATGTGCCACATTTCTGAAATTCGGTGCCACCCCTCACGCAGATCCGCGGGGTCAGGGTCCAAAAACACAGGGGATTTGCCACATTTCTGAAATTCGGTGCCACCCCTCATGCAGATCCGCGGGGTCAGGGTCCAAAAACACAGGGGATTTGCTACATTTCTGAAATTCGGTGCCACCCCTCACGCAGATCCGCGGGGTCAGGGTCCAAAAACACAAGGGATTTGCCACATTTCTGAAATTCGGTGCCACCCCTCACGCAGATCCGCGGGGTCAGGGTCCAAAAACACAGGGGATTTGCCACATTTCTGAAATTCGGTGCCACCCCTCACGCAGATCCGCGGGGTCAGGGTCCAAAAACACAGGGATTTGCCACATTTCTGAAATTCGGTGCCACCCCTCACGCAGATCCGCGGGGTCAGGGTCCAAAAACACAAGGGATTTGCCACATTTCTGAAATTCGGTGCCACCCCTCACGCAGATCCGCGGGGTCAGGGTCCAAAAACACAGGGGATTTGCCACATTTCTGAAATTCGGTGCCACCCCTCACGCACATCCATCGCAAGGCGTGGTAACCCAAACTGCGAGTACTCCCTCGGCCCTTTAATCCCAAGGTGTGGTAACCAAGCTCGTAAACCATACACGTCTTACCAATCGCCCTGTATGGTAACCCCTCTTGTGATCAGTTGGTTTTGCCGATTGCGAATCGGCCTCGCATGAAGTTCCGATACTGCTGCACGACAGCGCCAAAGCCTCATGACTTAGCTCTTCCATGGCCCTTTCTCCGAGAGAGGGGGCCGGCGGCAGGGGGCGAAGCCCTTTCGGATAAAAGATACCCCCAAACTACACCAAAAACATCCAAAAATACTATAAAAAAAGAATCCCAGGACTATGTTTGGACTATCCTTTATTTTTTTGCTGGGGTATGTTTTATTTTTCGTCTAAAACCCCCCTGTACGGGACAGGCCTGACATAAGCCTAACGATGCCCCTGACACAATGACAACGACCACGACGACAGCGGGCACGACCACGACGACCACGGCGACCCACCGAGCGCTGTGCCGCCCGTCCTGCGAGGAGATGTTCGGGTGCCAGATCTTCGTGTCGAACCTGCCAGGCGCCGCACGCGCGCACGCCTCCCCCCCCGAGCAGGAGACGGTTGCACACGGGTGCACAGGCACAGACATAGCACACCCGCGCTCTTCCAGCGGGTGGGTGGCGTCACTGCAGCGAATTCTGCATGCTGGGCATGTTTAGCATCAATTCCGGCCTGGCGTTGCAAATGGGAGGTTGCGCTAAGCGAGTCGTCGAGCAAAATAAGATAAAACAAACGGCTGGGTAAAGCAAACGCGCGTGGGACGGAAGGCGGGAAGCCATGCGCGCAGCGTGCTGGTGGAAAAGCCCGAACGCAAACACAACCAAACGCACTCACAATTTTGGCGTTGCGGCCTCGCGCGCGGCGTCGAAGCGTAGAAAGTCTGGATGCGCCCCCCTCCCCCTCCTCCCCTCGGCTCCCCCCCTTCCCCCCACATCCCCCGCTACACACACACACCCAAACACACACACACACACACACACACGCACACGCACACGCACACACACACACACACACACACACACACACACACACACGAACACACACACACACACACACACACACACACGCGCATGCACACACACATTCACACACACACGTACATACACACATACAAACATACACACACATACAAGACGCACACACAAGCACACACACACACACACACTTTTCGAGTTGGCGGTGGGGCCATATGCGGGCCACATGTCCACTAGAAGAAACGAATGAGGAGAGAAGGAGACAGGCGGCGAAGAGCCCGGCTAGGACTGCAACGTGGATCTTGTGGTCAAAGGTTGGAACTGGTGGTTCTGTCCACAGTTCAACATCAGTTCGCCTAAGGTTCGCCGGGGGAGTTCGAATCAAGTTCAAAAGCAATTCAAAAAACAAGAGGGCCGCATCCCCCCCGCCGCATCGCCCTCACGGCGCCCGTTCCCAGGGGCCCCCGCTCGCGACGCAGTCGCGTTCGGTTTCGCCGCCCTCTTCTGGCGGCAGCCAAAACGGGCGCGATCCCGTCGCCAAGTCGGCGCCAGAGTGGGTCCCGGGAACGGGCGCCGCCAGGGCGAAGCGGCGGGATGTCAGAATCGGCGCCGCTGTTTATGAGCTTGTCCCAAAAAGGTTCTCTGAGCACCCTTGGCAGAGTTTAAGCGGGCGTTTTTGTGACACCTGGACCCGACCATTATTTTCAGATTCTCGAACCAACGCCCACCCGCCCCTCGTCCTCGCCCCCCGCCCCCGCCACGGGACCTTGGTCAAAAGCAAAAAGCAACCAGTCCCCAGTCCACCCCGCATCTCTCGCATCCGAATTTGTCCGTCGTGTTGCCCTGCTTTCGCGGTTGCCCGTTGCCTTCCCTTTACGGGATGGAGGCGGACCAGACCTGCCCCCGCAGCTCGATGTTTCAAAATCCCCCCGAACTACAAACCTCACGACGCGACCGTGGCGTACCTCGCGTTCGCATTTGCCCCCAGCGGCTAGCTGGCGGCTGGCGACCACCTCCTAACCACGCTGGCTCACAAATGCTGCCATTGTAGCTTACCGCGCTCCTCTTAAGAACTTGACCCCCACACCCCCACCTCTTTCTATCACTCTTCACGCCCACCCCCAGGAGCAATGAGCAGGGGAACGATGAGTGAGAGGACAGGGAGATGTATTTACTTTGGCGCAAGAAACGAGGAAATACTTCTATACGACGGCCGTGTTGAAACAACTGTGAGGGCAAAGCCCAATCCACATAGACCGTGCTAGCAGGAAGAAGTGGCACGCAAGGGGTGCGCATGGAGAGATCGGTTGAATGATGTACGTGTGCTAGTCATAACTGTATGCCTGCGGCACACATGCTCGACTGTACATTGCACAATCGGAAAGGATGCCGCGGCAACTTTGTTTGAAACACAAGAAACACAACATTGCTATGCGCTCTACCGGCCAAGCATATGCATCGATCCTCCTCAAGATTCACCCCACGGGAAACATGTGCCAGCATACGCTCGCGTCTCGCACACGCGCTCACTGTTCGGCTTCTTGCCGTATGCACGCACACTGCACGCGAAGGCGGAGTGCACAAGACAGGAGACAAGGCTGACTGGCGGCGCGAAGAGGGATGTAGGGGCAGGGGGAAGGCTTCTTAGAAAGAGGCTGGCTCTTAGAAGGCGCTGGCCCTGCATCTATAGGTAAGGCCCGCGCTTTCGAAGAAGCAGTCTACTTCTAAAAAGCCTTCCCCGCTCCCCCGTGCCCCCCTCTGCGCGTGGCTGACGAGACGGCAAGCAAAACTGAACTTCATCTTGGGCGGGTTGTACGGGTAGTCGCCCGGAATCTTGATGTCAATGGTGTAGACGCCGCCCTCGTAGGGAGTGCCTCTCGGAGCAACGCGATCGTTGCCAATGTCTTTCCTGCCCCCGCCTGCCACACAGCCCCTTGAGCGCTCTCCGTGTGCACCTGTCGGCTGGCAAGCGCGCGCTGCAGCACGGCATCGATCTGCTTGCCTGCAGCGCGCACCAAAACAGCTCTTGACTACTACCAGACCGCACCATCCTAACCCGAAGACCCAAATTTCGAGCTGGGGGGGGGGTACGAGTCCCGACGCCCCCTGGGCAACTTGGGCCCTTCGGGTTTTGGATGGTGAGCTCTCCGGCGACCTCTGGGGTACGTCTGAAGCGGCTATGCAACGCCCGGGGCAGGCCCTGGGGACGTCCCAATTTCGGAGGCGTCCAGATGATGGAAGGGGAAATCCGGGAGGAGTTCCCGGCCTCTGGGAGGGCCCTCAGCATCCTGCGTGCACATGTAACATACAAGACTGCATTGACTCTTCGCGCCAGGCACCTTGGTCCTCGAAGGTTGGCATGCAGGCGGAAGGGCAGGAAGGTAGACCACACAATCTTTAGCGATAACGCTTCGTTGCCTCTCCCGACATCGCAATTATAAGAATAAGATGCATTACCCTTCCCTCATATTTTCTCTTCCTCGTCCCCCTTCCCGCCTCACCATTCGAATTCTTCCCCAGCCTCTTCAGCTCTTCTTGCGGAGGTTCCTCCTTGGAGAGCCTTTTGGAGGCAGCTTTAAAGCATCTTGGAGCCCCATGGGGGCCGTTTGGGGTCCTCTAGGGGCTTCTGCTGGACCTCTTGGGAGCCGCTTGCGGCCTCTTGGGGACTTCTTGGCGGCTTGCTGGTGATCTCGGGAGCCTCCTCGGAACGGAGGGCTCGAAATCTCAGCTCGAGTTCCCCATCTCATACACACACACACATATATATATATATATATATATATATATCTACACACATCTGTATGTGTATATATACATATATATTCACAAGACTGCATTGACGCTTGGCGCCATGCACTTTGGTCCTACTGCAGACAAGAAAGCAATAAGGTAAAACGGAACATCTAGCGATAACTCGTTATTGACTTTTCTGGCGTCGTCGTTGTAATCATGTTATGTGTTATTATTATAGCATGTTTCCTCTTCCTCTTCCTCAATCTCGCCTTACCGTGCAAATTCTTACCCTTCCCCAGCTCTTTTTGCGGAGGCTTATCCTAGGAGACCCTCCTGTAAGCCTCACGAAGGTTTTGAGGGGCTTGTTGGGACCTTCTGGAAGCCTCCTGGGTCACTTCTGGGGGCCTCTGGGGGCTTCTCCGGGCCACCCTGCTTCCAACCGCGGTTTGGAAGCAGGGTGGCGATTTGGAATGATTCGGGAGGCATCTTGGGGCCATCTTGGGCCGTCATGGGGCTCTCTTCGGGCCATCTTGGGGCCCCGTTGGGCCGTCTTGGGGCTCCTCTTGGGCTGCCTGGAAGCCCTGTTGGTTCAATTTGGGGCGACTCTCTGGCCTCCTGGGCGGTCTCGGGCGCCCGGAAAACCGAAAAACTGAGCATCCCCAACATCATACAAAAACCGCAGGGAATCAATGCTTTTTGCAATGCAAGTGCCTCTTGGGGGGTCTTCTTTCGGTCGTTTTGGGGCGTCTGGTGGGTGTCTGGGGTCTTGGTGGGCTCTCGCGGGGCCGTCCCGCCGCCCTCCTGATTTGGGCCAGCTGCCTAGGCCCAGCAGGGGCTTCAGGAGCCCCGGAATGCACAGGGGACCGCCTGCAAGGGCGTTCAGGGTGCCCCTGGGGCCAAGGATCCGGAGAGGTCTCGTTTAGCGAGGGAGAGGTTTTCGCAGGGTCCCCGAGCATAAAGATATAGCAAAGGGGCTAGATCTGTGTGTTTATACCCCAGAGTGCGGGGGCTGGCAATTGTTAGACAATTCCTGGGTGCGTTCCTCACGTGGGCCTCCGCTGTGATGATCCTCGCCCGCTGTCATGCCCCGTCTGACCCGCCCGTTAGGGTCCGCCCGCCCGACCCGCCCGATAAAGTCCGCTCGCCCGACCCGCCCGTTAGCCTTGGAAAAGGTCCACTGGCCCTTCCGGGCCTCCCACGACGCCTTGCCGGGCCTTGCGAGCTGACTCAGGCCGATCAGAGGGGTCATCGGAAAGGCGCAAGAGAGACCCAAGACAGCACAAGAGCGCTCCAAGAGGAACCTCGATGGTCTGAAGACGGCCCAAGAGGCCCCCAAGGCGCCCCAAGAGGCTGTTAAGAGAACCCCCATTATTTTGGGAATCTGTATAAGATTGACATATCCGCTGTTTGGGACTTCGCAGCGTCCAAGACGGCCCGATGGGCCCACGACATCGCCCCGAGACGGCCCAAGAGGCCCCCAGAGGATTTGAAGACGGCCCAAGAGGGCCCCAAGACTGCCCCAGAGGGCCCGACACCGCCCGCAAAAACATCGAAGATGCCCCCAGAAGGCTCCCAAGAGAGACCCACGAAAGCCATGGGAGACCCCTACAAAGCCACTGAAGGCCCCCGAATGGGCCCTAGATGGCTTCAGAAGAACTCTGGAGGGCCCCAGCTCCCCATGACGGCCCAAGAAAGCCCCGGGACGGCCCGAGAGGGCCCCAGGACGGCCCAAAAGAGCCCCCAAAACGCCCAGACGGCGTTTTCCTACGAAGTACATCGCGCTGACCCGACGATCTTGGCTCTACGCGTGAGGCTCGAGCTCTAAGTTCCTCGATCGAGAGAGACAGGCAATGGATCGATATTCGAAGTTCGACGATAGAAGATTTCCTGAGTGCCTGGAGCCCTCCAGGCATTCAGGAAGCCCCAAGAAACCGATGTGTTCGGAACTACTGCGACTTCTTCGGCGTGTCATGGGAACGCCCCTTACTTCCTCAAAGGACCTTCGCGCGTGAAAAAATCATTATTCCTCCCCCACTCCTGCGCACAAGCGTGCAAACGCATCGGGCGAACGCCGTGTCAGCAGACACCAGGGAGACCAGAAAAAATGAGCCCGTCGCCCCTCCAGGCTTCGAGGTCCGCCCCGCTGAAGCAAGCGATGATTTATTGCTCTGCCGGGGAGGGTCGGGAACAAAGCGCATGGCGCGAAGCGCCACTGCAGTCTTGTACATATATATACACACACGAATGTCTACACGTCGTTCAATTCTAATCGTGCTCATTTCTAAGTGTGCTCGTTTCTACTTGTTCCTGACCCCCCAGTGGCCAGGAAGAGGCCTAGGATAGAAGAATTAGAAATGAAAGGATCTTGGCCCCACAAAAAAACAAGTAACCTTCGCACAATTAGGAATGAACAGTGCGTACACATAAATCAATATAGTGGTGTGTGTGAGTGAGAGAAAGAGGCGGTGGGCCCAGATGTCTGCGCACGCATGGCCTTGCACACATACCTCTAGACGGGCACACGAGAACCCTCCTGGTGCGTGCTTCATCATGCACCGACATGGGCGTACAGAAGCACACATGCACATGCAGCCCCGCATGCGTAAATCCGCCGACCCCCGCAGACCGGGGGTGACCAGGCGTGTGCGACCTTTGGCTGTCCCCCTCTTTCCTCCCCCAGGGTCCAAAATCCGGTTGGCCCAGGGGGGGGTCTCTGGGCTCCCGAATGCACCCCTCGGGCCTCCAGACTCTCAAAATCCACACTCCGTGGCCTCCAACCTCCAAGATGCCCAATCTTCCATCATAGCTTGCACAAGCTGGGCTCCAACGCGCCGAGGGGGCCTCAAAAACACACAAGATAGCGTCAAGGCGGCCCAACAAGCCTCCTGGACGCCCCAAAACAGCTCCAAAGCGTATCCGCCGTGTTGGTTGCGCGTCGAAAACCGCCCAAGAAACCCCCACGATCGCACCAAGACGGCCCGAAAGGCCCCAAAAAGCGCACCAAGACGGCCCCAGAGGGCCTCAAGACGGCACAGAAGGCGCCAAAGACGGCCCAAGAGGGCCCCAAGGAGGCCCTAAGAGGGGCCCAAGATGGGGAAGTCAAACTCCCCTCCGCTTCAAGAGGAGACCCCAGACCGCCGGCAGGCGCCCAAGAGACCACCAAGAAGCCCCGAGAGGCCCCCGAGAGGCCAATAAGAGGCCCCCCCCAAGGCCCCCAAACGGTCCCCAAGAGGCCTCAGAACTGCCTTTCAGAAGCTCCCCATGGGCTTCCGTAGAGATCCCTGCTAAGTGGCGTCCAAGAAGCCTCTGACCCACAAGCCAGGCATGATGGCGGAATAGGCCGAAGGCCGCTGGACTGCCAACAAAAACTTAATCAGGCTCACATGCATGGCGAACCGTTGACTCCTTACCTCTGATGGGGGTCGGCGGAATGGCGTACACGTCGTTCATTTCAAGTCGTGCTCATTTCTAACTGTGCTCGTTTCTAATTGTTCCTGGCCCCCTGGTGGCCAGGAAGAGGCCCAGGATAGAGCAATTAGAAGTGAAAGGATCTTGGCCCCCCAAAACATCAAGAACTGTCGAATACTTAGACATGAACAGTGTGTAAGGCTCTTGAACACAGCATGTGGCCCCATGCGTGCACAAGCGTGTGCGCGCCCGACACTGCCCGAACGCGCCCGTCGAGTTCTTCTTCGCGGCGACGCCTGTCTGCCTCAGCGCGGGTACCCTGGGCCGTGGCTCGCCTTCTGGGCCCTTCAGGATCCCCTTCCAGTGCGTGAGGTCGGAGGCGTTGACGGTGTCCGCCGTGACGGACGACTCCTTGGGCAGGGGGCCACATGCGAACCCTACCCCATACCCCCATACGATTTCTGAGGGGGAAGGTGGGGTTCACTTCGCTCGGGAGCTCCCGAACAAAGTGAACCCCACCTCCACCTCAGAAATCGTATGGGGGTGGGGGTAGGGTTCGCATGTGGCCCCCTGTTGGGGGAGATGGGGCCAGCGGGCTGCTGGCAGGACGGGGGCTCTGGAAGCGCACAGAACCGGACGGGGCGGCACCGAACCTGCGCAAGCCCGCCCGCTTGTCCAGCGCGAGCGGAGCCGCACCGAGCTCGTCATGTTGAGCCGGACCGAGCCGGCTTCGACCCCGACGCCGCACTGCACCGAGCCTCCCTCCTGCCCGAAACAGACCGCGATGCCGCGGAAGCCTGGCAGCCTGGGAGGGGGGTCCTCGACTCGGGGGCGGAGGGAGGGGAAGGGAGGGGGCTCGCAGAGAGGAAGGGAAGGAGGGGGGAGGACAAGCTAGGTGCGCTCGCGTCATATCTGACGTCCTACCCCTCCCTCCCATCCCTTACCATGGCGCTGATTTTCTCTATCCGCGGACGCGTGTCGTAGCGGACTGTGCTGCGCGCGTGCGTGCGTGTGTGGTGGTGCTGGTGCGTGGTGTGTGGTGGTGGTGGTGGTGGTGGTGGTGGTGGTGGTGGTGCGGCGCGGTGGTGGCGGGCGGATGGGCGCGCGAGAAAGAGGCCCGCGCTGGGGCGAGAACGCCATCCTGAACGACGGAGGCCAAACACCGATCCGAAAATGAGGCCCACGCTGCAGCGGGAGCACGATTCGGAACGATTCGGGAGCAGAAATGAGGCCGGCGCCTCAGCGAGAGCAGCATTTTGAAAAACAACGCAGGCGCAAACCCAACTCCCGGGAATCCTGTGTAAAAAAACAGTACGCGGGGGGGGGGTCGGCCACTCCCAGCACGCCATCAGGGGAAGAGGGAAGTAGTATTCATATTGAGTAATTGTGGAGGAGTTGGAGGAGGAGGAGGAGGAGGAGGAGGAGGAGGAGGAGGTCCTCGACTCGGGGGCGTCCAAGACGGAGGCGTCCAAGAGGGGGCAGTCGCAAAAATCATGGCCCGAGACATGTGCGCGGCCCAGGGGGTGGCCAGGGGACGAGTTGAAAGAAGGCGAGCGGGCACCGAGATCTGGGGATAGATCATGGTACTCGCCAGACAATCCCCCCCCTCAGTCATCACCCCCCTCTGGCCGTCCAGGATCGACAGTTCTCGAGGGCCTCTGGACGCACCCCAAAGTGGGGTCCGAGCAGATGGGATAGGAGGACTGCGCCTCATCGTCGACGCGTCGTCGATGCATCGGCGAAATCGGCTATGCATCAGCGCCGTCCGCGTGGATAAACTCGGGATCCACATCGAGCCGCATCGCCGATGCATCGGCAATGCGGCGCGATCCTCCGACCCCATCTACTCCGACCCCATCTGGGAGACGTAACGATATCCCCCCCTAGGCATCAACTCCCACTTGGCCATGGCTGCCCCCGATCGACGGTTCTCGCGGCCCTCACCTCCAGACCCAGACCCCCGACGTCATGCTTCTTTCATTACGTCAACTCCCAAATTGTCTCGATCTATACCCTGGGACCGGCATTTCATCCTGAATTGTTTGTTTGACAGTCCCGAGGCTCGGTAAGGGCCCCCAGGGGCTGAAAATAGCGAAACACCTTCCGTCGCATTTTAGGGGGTCTGGGAAGACATCGCCAGCCAGAACGCTGCGTAAGCACAAAACGGTCGGAGGCCAACGCGGCTTTCTCGAATGTGCGGCGGCCCTGTCTTGCGCGCCCCGCGCGTCGGGAAAGGGGTGCCAGGAGAGCAGCTGGGCGCCGACAGGAGGAATCCGCGCGGAGCTCTAAATTCTCGAGTTCGCGCAGTGTCCTGCTTATCAGTCCTCCTCCTCCTCCTCCTCCTCCTGTCCTCCTCCTCCTCCTCCTCCTCCTCCTCCTCCTCCTCCTCCTCCTCCAGCACGCCTGTCAATGCCGCGATCAACGTGTCGCCTTCGCCGCAGGCGCGGCGCGGCCCTCCCTAGGTGGCGCGTCGTGGCTGGCCTGTGCTTCGACCTTGCCGCCTGGGCGAGCACGAGGGGGGCGTGACTCTCTCGGGCGAGCACGACCGGGGCCTGTGCTGGCGCAGGTCTTCTGGGCGTTCCGGGCGGATCGGTTCCGGGAGGGGGCGGGGGGCGGAGGGGCCCTGGGCCCCCGGTGGAGCAGAGGCATGGGGCATGTTGGCGGCGCGCACAGGGGGGAAAGCTTCGTAGAAGGAGGCTGCTTTCCAGAAGGTGCTCGCCTTGTCTAGAGATGCAGAGCGGGCGCCTTCTGAGTAGCCAGCTTCTAAGAACCCCTAAATTGCGCCCCCTGCGCGCGTCGCCAAGTAGGGCGGGGAGGATGAGGCGGCGGGTGGCGCTGCGGAGGGGCAGGACCAGGGCCGAGGGCAGGAGAGGGCAGAGGCCGAGACGGAGGAGGGGGCACCGGTGCTCGTGCCCGATATCACGCAACCCCGCCTGCCGCTCGCACCCGCCGCTGCCGCCCGCCCCCCCGCCCCTCCCTCCTCGACCATCTCCCGCTCCCGCTCCTGCTCTCGCGCCCTCTCCCCCACCTCCTGCCTCCTTCCCCTTCCCCTCGCCATAGCGGCTCTCTCACGGCCTGCTCCCGCGCCCACTTGTTCCTCCCGCCCTTCTTCTCCCGCACCATCCGCCGCCGCCGGCGGCCAGTGCCACCACCGCTGCACGCTCCACCTCCTTCCTCTCGGCCCTCTGCTCATCCTCCAACTCCGTTGCCCCCGTCTACCCCGCCTCCTCCTCGTCCTTCTCCACTCCCCCCCCTCCTCACTGCGCCTCGTCCTCTCTTCCAGCTCGCCATCGCCATCAACAACAGGGTCATGCTCGTCACGCTCACCGTCAACATCGCCTTGCTAATGCTCCTCCTCCTCCTCCTCCTTCTCCGTCTCTTCCTCCTCCTCCTCCTCTTCCTCCTCCTCCTCCTCCTCCCTAATCATCATCATCATCATCATCATCATCAACATCATCATCATCATCATCATCATCAGCATCATCATCATCAGTATCATCATCATCACCATCATCATCAACATCATCATCAGCATCATCATCACCATCGCCATAATCATCATCATAATCGTCATCATCAGCAGCAGCATGGACATCATCATCATCAGCATCATCATCATCAGCATCAACAACATCATCATCAGCATCATCAGCATCATTAGTATCCTTCGCATCATCAGTATCAGCATCACCGTCACCATCAGTATCAGCATCAGCCTCATCATCATCATCATCATCATCATCAGCATCAACAGCATCCTCACCATCAGCATCGTCATCATCATCCTCAGCAGCAGTCTCAGCAACATAAGTATCAGCATCGTGATCGTCATCATCAACAGCATCAGCACCATCATCAAGATCAGCATCAACATCATCGTCATCATCATCAGCATCATCACCATCACCATCACCATCACCATCACCATCATCAGCATCATCAGCATCATCATCAACATCATCAGCATCAGTATCATCATCAGAATCGGCATTAGCATCAAACTCATAAGCGATATCAGCATCAACATCCGCAACAGCATCAGCATCATCATTTCACATCATCACATCACATCATCATCACCAACATCATCAGCAGCATCGCCATCACCATCAGCATCAGCATCAGTATCAGAATGAGCATCAGCATCAGCATCAGCATCAGCATCAGCATCATCATCATCAGCATCATCAGTATCGTCATCATCCCTATCATCATCATATCATCATCGTAGTCGTCGTCATCCTTCTCCTCCTCCTCCTCCTCATCATCATCATCATCATCATCATCATCATCATCATCATCATCATGATCATTATCATCATCGTCATTATCATGTTGGTCATCAGCAGCATCATCGTCGTCGTCTGGAGGCCAAAAAAAGCAAGCTGAAGACACCCACATATGTTGACTCTCATTCCTTCTCGGTCCTCGAGCCCCCCCCCCCCTCGTTGACGCACTTGTGCGCGCGCCCCCCTGTTGCACGGGCACCGGAACGAGTGGCGAGGGAGGGCAAGGAGAGCAAGCGAGCGCAGAGAAGTGCGCTTGGGTTCAGTCCTCGTGTAAGTTCAGGGGTAGAAGCAAAAAAAGGGCCAACCAGGAGTGCAGTTGCCAGGAAGCTGGAGCCCGCACGCCTGGCTCGATTCATACGCGGAGCATGCGGAAATCGCGCGCTGGGTACACATGCCGAGGACGCTGGTGCCTGGCTGCAGGAGGGTCATACGCCAGGAAGACATCTGGCCACATCTGGATCCAACTGTCGGCCAAGCAGGCCGCGTCATGTGTACCCAGCTTCCCGGCAAGCGCAGGCTCCACGCTCGCCGAGCCCTTTCCCCCTGGCGCGGGGCTCCGCGGCGAGCGCCTTGATGTCTTGGAGCTCCTTCTCGAGACGCTTCACCTCCTGCGCGCCGTAAGCCGCTCCCGATGCCGCCGCGCGGCATTCTCCAAAGTGAGCCAGCGGCTCTCTCCAGTCCTCCTTCCGTCCTCCTCCTCCTCCTCCTCCTCCTCCTCCTCCTCCCTCCTCCTCCCTCCGAGCCACGCGGCGGTCTGCACGGCCTCCTGCTTGCAGCGTCGCGTCCGTGCCGCCACCCAGACATCCGGCGCATGGGCTGACTGCACCCCAGCTTCGAGTGAAGAACACTGTACGCTAAGAAAATCGACGTCACTCCAAGCGTTTTCTCTAACAGTAGTCCAGGTCCAGATATACGAACATTCCACGAAGAAAAGAAGCTCCACGAAAACGCCCGGGGTCCAGTCCAGACTCTTGATTTTCTGGTAAAATTTGGAGCGTACGACAATTGACGTTTTTTCTTGAATTTTCTGATGGTTATACCTGCGGCAACCCAGCGGCGGACCGGCGAGTGGCAAGGGCAGCTGAGACTAAGGGTCACTCTTGCGCGTGGCCACATCAGTTGACCTCCCGAGGGGCAACGCTAGGGGGCAACCAACTCACGGGGGGGGGGGGAACATCGAGCTGGAATCGGCGATACGTCGCCGATAGATCGGCGACAGGTTCCTCCTGTCAGCGAATCCGCACGGTCCTGAATAGCCCCTCCTCGGCGCGATGACTGCGCGATTGGGGGCCGATGCATCCCCCGTCTGAGCCCTGAGCCTATCCACCCCTGTTTCCCTCCCTCCTCCCACAGGGAGAGCTTGCTATGGCAAATTACGACATGATCTGACTAACATTGGACAGACGTTGACCTCAAGAAGCGCAAGCGTTGTCCTCAGAAACCTGCGACCCCAGGGGGTCCCAAGACCGCGTGGTGACGCACCGCGTGAAGACCTCGGAATCCCCAACGATCCCGCCGCGCGGTCCGTCACCGCACGGCCTTGGGACCCTGGAGGCCCCAGTCGCCCGAGACGTCCTCGGACAACGACCCGAGTCCCAAAACTGCGCAGTGACCCCAAATCTCCACCTACTCTTAAGTCGGGCCTGTCCCCCCACAGGGGGATTTTCGACGAACAATTAAAAGTACTCCAAGCTGGTCAAAAATATTCAAAAAATAGTCCCCAGACTATTTTTGATTTTTTTTTGTTATTTTTTGAATCATTTTGTATCTTTCGTCGGAAATCCCCCTGTAGGGGGACACGCCCGACTCAAACCTACTCGCCACGCGGTCTGGTCACCACACCGCAACCCGGCGGCCCCAGGGAGAGAGGGGGGCGCCGAGCCCCAGTGGCGGACGGCCAGCGCCGCGGGCGTCCAGCGCAGCGCGGCGGCCATGGAGTTGAGCAGGGACCGACCGTCCGGGCATTCCCAGAGAGCCACCACGGCATGTTCGTCGAACCAAGGGAATGCTCGAAGAACTAGCAGGAAGTGTCTAAGCCGGTGCGCAGAAGCAAGCCGGCCGCCGCCAGAAGCGAGACGAGACGAGAGAGCGAGGCAGATCATATGAGAGAGGGACGTAGCGAGAGAGAGAGAGAGAGACAGAGAGAAGCAACACGAGAGAGGGAGAGAGAGAGAGAGAGATAACCAACACAGAGAGGGATACACATGCATAGACCTATGTGTATGTATGTACACATATATATATACACACATCGACATTGACAAAGAGAAAAGAGAGATAGAGAGAGACAGAGAGAGACAGAGGCAGATAACGACAGAAAAGAGAGAGAGAGAGGGAAGAAGAGAGAGAGAGAGAGAGAGAAATATAGAGAAACGACCAGGACCTTCATGAAGGAGATGGTGCCCTCTGGGTCTCACGTGAGGGGTGCTCTGGAGCCCACCTGAAGCTCCCAGAAATCACGATGGCACCTTGAGGCCATCCGATCCTCATGGGAAGTTCTGGGAGGACGCGACTGGCAATACCCGACTGAAACCTGCTTTTCCCGTGACGCCACACCTGCGGGCCCTGTTCGATCCAGGACCCCAAACTTACCGAATAACCAATGGGCAATCAATGATTTCAGCCTCTCGGGGCCCTGGGGAAACTCTTGGGGCGTCTTGTGGGCCTCTTGGCCCGTCTTAGATCCCCCTGGACGCCCCCCCAGCTCCTCGACCCTCGCATCCTTCGATGCCTATCGAACCCCCGGACCCGAGACATCCGACGCTCTGATTTTCTCCTTTCGCGGCCCAAGCGCTCCCGACCACTTCTCCGGGGACAATTGCTTCGTTCTGGATCAAACTCCCGTGCACCTGGGGCTCGAGGGCCGCCCTGGGATACCCCAAAACTGAAGAAACATAGAAAAGACACGCCGCGGCGGCCAAAAAATCAGTCCTTCGGAGGTCTGGTCGGGCGTTGGCAGGGCTGGGTTCAGTGGGACCCGGCTTAGTGACGTGTACCTGCCGGTGACGCTGCCCGCCCCGCCCCATTCCACTAACCAGAGCTGCCGTCACCCGAGAAAAACACCAACCACGGCAGACCTGGTTTGGTGGTTCCAGTCCATCTCTTGGACTTCCGGGGCCCAAGCACCAGCTCTGGCCCTCCATAAGCGGAGCCCTGGCGATACCCGATCTGGACGATCCTCGATGCCTCGATGCCTCGAGGCCTCGAGGCCTCGACCTTCGCGACGCCGGCCCGGCGAAGGGCCCCCGCCCCGCACCCGCCCCGCCCCCCCCCCCCCGCCCGCCCGGCGGCGGCGCCCGACGCGCCGAGCCTCGAGAGGGCCCCGCCGCGGCGACGAGGGCGCCCCCTGGAGCAGGGCGAGGCCGGGACGGGGATGCGAGCGGGTGGGGATAAGCGGGAAATCTCCTCTGAGATCCAGCGGCTCTGGAGGATCTCTCGGGCGCCGCGGCCTTCTCAGAGCGCTCCGGAACGCTCTGGTCCTGGCCCCGTCCGATGGAGGCCCCCCCCCCCCCGCCCCGAGAAGAAGTTGCCAGGGCGGTGGGTAGCATCGACGCTCCTCGATCCTCGGGGGCACTGCAGGCCTCTGGTAGCACTCCAGGGGAGGCCTCCGGCGCTGCCCGATTTGTTTTCCTTCCCTGTGGCAAAACCCGCCCGCGGGGCGGGCCCCAGGCCCGTGCTGGCACGCCCGCGGGCACGCAAGGTGAGCAGAGGCACCTGGCGCGCCGGCTTGCCAACCACCCGCGTGAGAGGCGACGGCCGGACGTCGTCGAGGAAATCAAAATGGACCGTCGGATCAAATCGGGCACGTCCTCCTCCAGGCGGATTTAGGAAGGAATCTTAACCATTTGGCAGAAAATATGCAAGACATCTTCAAAGAATACGCAAACAAAAACCTGCCCATGGTATTCCTGGACTACCTTTGCATACTCTTCCCGTAGAGAGGGACAGGCCCCGACTTCCCCGCAGGAGGCCGCGGCGCGCGCGGCGCGAGAGCGGAGGGGGCGCCCGGCCCCGCGGGCGCTCACCGGGCGACCGCGGGCTCCTCGCCCAGAGCCGGGGGGGCGCCCGCCTCCGCCTCGGGGCCCAGCAGCGCGCCGCCGCCCCCCGCCGCGCCCGCGGGCGCGCGCGCTGCGGTGCCGGGGCCCGCGCCCGTGGCCGCGCGGGCGCGGGCCTCCCGCACCGGAAAGTGCAGGCCGTCGCCGGCGGGGGGCGCCACGGGCAGCAGCCAGAGCAGCGGGTGCGGCCCCAGCACGGCGCGCAGGTTCTCGTAGGCGCCCTGCTCGTAGCTGGGGGGCGGCTTGGAGCAGCCCTGCCGCGAGCGCTTCTCGCACAGCTCGATGGTGGTCGTGGCCTTCAGCATCAGCCAGATGTGCAGGCCGAGGAAGGCCTTCAGAAGCAGCGCCATGATGCAAGCCAGCGTGAGGCCGAAGACCATCAAGAAACGCTCCCTGGAGGAGCGGTACTCGAGGCTCAGGGACCGCAGGAGGGACTGAGACATGGTCGCGAGGATGAAGGCACAGCTTAGGAAGGAATACAGGACAAGCAGGAAAAAGTACTTGTGGTTCCTGAAGCCGACGCAGTTGGCGATCCACGGGCAGTGGTGGTCCATGCGCAGGACGCACGACTTGCACACCCGGCAGTGGTGGCAGCGGTCGGGCTTGTAGCTGTCGCACCACTTACAGAAGCGGCGCCCGCCCGTCTGCTTGACCTCGTGCACCACCGAGCCGTCTTCGCCCGTCGGGTCCCTGCTCACCGGGCCGCCGCGCGCGCCCTGCCAGGAGCCCCAGACGCCACCCTGCGCGTCCCGCCACTCGGGCACGTCAGGCACGGACCCGGGGTCCGTGAACATGGCCCTGCCGAGGCACACCAGCAGCAGGGCCGTGAGCGTGTTCGAGACGGCGGCCTCGACGCAGAAGGAGCGGGCGTCGCGCTCCCGCAGGGGCCGCAGGTGCAGCCACGCGTGGGTGCCGTAGACCGTCGCGATGATCCACAGCACGAAGATCACTGGCAGGGCGTTGGCCAGCGTCCACCTCTGGCACTTGAACGCCATCGCGACAAGGGCGCCGCGTCTCTTCGTGGAAGTGTTTCACCGACCTCGGGCGGGCGCCCCCGCTCTCGCCGGGCGGCTCCGCATCTCTAACTGGGGCGTGCGCGGGGCGCTGGAGCCCAAATGGCCACGGACCCCCGGCGCTGCCCGATCTGGGCCTGGTTTGGACCAGCGTTGGAACACATTTTTGGACCGGATTCGATCCCTCACGAGGGAGACGAGAAGAACGAGGAGGGGAAGGGGGAACCGTAAGGGCGAGGAGGAGCAGGGGGAAGGGCCAAATGCGGCCCAAATGCTGCCCACATGCTGAAAACATTGATTTGAATGTCGCCGCCCGAGGCTCCCATGAACAGACATCGAAGATCCTCGATCCTCGGGGAACAGCAGGCCTCTGGCAGCTGGTTATTTGTGCTGCTGCCTTTTCAATCGCGGCGCTTCTCCTCAGGTTTCGGCCTCTCCGAGGGCCCTTGTCGGGCACGGGGGATATTCAACGTGGGTCTCGGACGGAGAACGACTTCGGGGAAGCGGTCGCCAGCTCTGGGGTCACGTATTGCAAACCACGTCGTCGGATGTCTGGGTAGGGGCCCTGGTGGAGACAGGTCCTGGAGTCCAGGGCTTCCCCCAGGGCCGCAACTCGTGATCCTCAGTACTTCGTTGCCGCTCCGACAAGGTGGGGTTGCTAGATTTCAAGAAGCAGCCCGCCAGCCAGCCCCGCAGATTGCGGCCGCTAAGCTGGAGCTTTTTTGTTTTTTATGTATATAAAAAACATTCGCGATGACGCCCGTAAACGGCCCAGGGGCCCTCCGCTCCCTCCCCTTCTTGGTCACGTCACGCTTCGCGCCCGCGCCATCTGGGAAGGAGCCCTCGTTCCCTCGACCTCGATCTTCCGAACCTTCCGCGCAGCAGGTGCCGACGCGGCGCGGCCGCGGCGACCGCGAGACCGCCGCTACGGCCTCGACGGCGGCCGCTTCTGCGACCGCGCTGGCGACCGGCAGGTGAGGAAGGTGGAGGTCGAAGGCTGAGCATTCCCACACTGCACGGGCGCGAATCGCGACGTGACCGGCGCCCTCCCCCCCCCCTCCGCCCCCCCCAGGTCACGCAAGTGATCGCCAGGGGGGGAAAAAACACTGTCTCCAAGCCCTGCATACCGTTTTACGCCCATGGCCCCAGGACTCCGAGCGTGACTACCCAGCAGCCCACCCCGAAGACCCGAATTCCGGCTTTGGGGGGAAGCGGGCTCCACCAGTGTTTCTCCATGCTCCCCGACCACCCCCCACCGGAAATGGAGGGCAAATGGAGCCCTTCGGGTTGGGTTGTGGTGGTTTGGTGGGTGGTGAGGGTGTCTCAGCTGACTACCCACCAGACCACCCCAACCCAACCCGAAGGCCAGAATTTCGGGTTGGGGGGGGGGGTTAAGTGATCCACATGTGTTTGTTCTGTGTTTCCCGACCCCCCCCCCCACTGGAAATGCAGGGCAAATGGAGGCCTTCAGGTTCGGGTTGTGGTGGTTTGGTGGGTGGTTTGAGGCTGTCTCAGCGGCCGGAGCGGCCCGCCTCGCCGGCCCCGCGCCCCGCGGCCGCCAGGCCCCGTGCGTCACGGCGCCCGCCGTCCAAGGACATCCAAGAAAGGACCCCCTGTGAGATTCGAGAGCGTGCCAAAAGCGCTCGTGGGGAGCAGTCGTCGAGAGCAAACGTCCAGCACACGCATCCACAGGCACATAGCAGTAATGCACGCCACAACGTACACCACGCGTATACAATGCACATCATGAATACACCGAGAGTGCACATCGATAGCAGACACACCTTACAGACCAAGCACAGACCGCCCTTGACACACACCAGCAGCAGGCGTCAAGGGCACACATACATTATATATATATGTACATATAACACAAACACACATATAAATGTGTATGTACATACGAACACGCATCAGCAACATACACCACCATCACATACCGCGAGACGGCATTACGAACATAACTCAATGACATGAACCGACAACTTCTCACACACACACAACACACACACCATTCACACATAACAATAATACATAGCACTACGCACATTAATGACACATGCCAGTGACACCCAGCAAGATGAGACAACAACATCACACATCAAACTATCAACTATCACTTAGTTGCGTCGAAAGCTGGCAACACAATTTAGTTCAATGAAAGATGTGAAGATTAGTCGTCAAAGAAAAAAGCAACCACTATTCACCAACACCACAGAAACCAGGGTCCGGCACCAGTACCGCACGGCAAAAAAAACAGCGAGAAGGTGTCCGCCGCCCGCCGCCCGCTGCACCCCCCTCGGCTGCACGCAAGAGCGACCCTGGGCAAGAGTGGCCGTTGGTGCGCGACTTGACGGGGGACGCGGGGGGGGGCCAAACCCGGGCGCGCGAGCCGCTGCTACCGCTTCGCGATCAGCGGGCGGGGGACCCCGCTGGGCCCGCACCAAAGGTCACTCCGGCGAAAGGTCACTCTTACGTGCAGTCGACCCTCCTCCCCTCTGCACGCCCGCAATGGGTACGGACACCAGTGGGCACAATGCCCCACAACAGATGTTGCCCTAAACCGACAGCGGCCGTTGGTTGGGCAGGCGGCTCCTTGTCTTCAACAAACAAAGTCCACGGCCGCGCGGACAGCGAGTCCTGGTCAAAATGAACGGGGCCGTCTTTGCGCCCATCTCGGGGGCGTCCAAGCCAAGAGGGGGGCGTCCAAGAGGGGTGTGTGTGTGAGCAAATCATGGCTGGCGGCACGTGCGCGGCCCAGGGAGGGGGTGGGCGAGGACGCATTGAAATAAGAAGAGGCGCCATGAAATCTGGGGAGATATCATGGCCCCCGCCGTGACATCCAATTCCAGACATGAGACGTACTGTTTTTTCAATGCGGGGTCCCTGGAAGTCCCGACCCTTTCCCCGGGGCAGGTTTTTCATCCCTTGTTGGACGGTCCCGAGGCCCGGCGAGGGCTCCCCGATGCCGAAATTTGCCAAACACCTCCCGTTCTGATTCTTCCACGACGCGATCATGTCTGGGATGACATGTGGGGAGATATCATGGCCCCCGCCATGATATCCAATCCCCCCCAGTTATCCCTCGTGGCCGCCCCCGGCACGAGCCCATCGCGATCGGCCCCCCCCCCAGGAGGAGGAGGAGGAGGAGGAGAAGGAGGAGAAGGAGGAGGACGAGGAGGAGGAGGAGGAGGAGGAGGAGGAGGAGGAGGAGGACGAGAAGGAGGAGGAGGAGGAGGAGGAGCCCCTCTAGATCGACCCCCTCCTCCTCCCCCGCGCGGCGCCGCTCCCTGGGGCGCATCGCGCCGGCGGCCCCCGACATGGCTGCTCGGCGGCGCTCGGGTCTGCAAGCCTCGCGGGCGGGGCGCGCGCGCGCGCTCTTCTGGCGAGCCCCAGGGCCGATTTGGCCCCCCTCGGGTCACGAGGCGTCGCGACGGGACGTCTCGGGCGTCGTCGGAATGAGGGGGCGACAGTGAGGGGGGGGGGGGCGAGGCAGGGGCACTTCTGGCGGGCCCCAGGGCCGATTTGGGCCCCCCCTCGGGTCACGAGGAGTCGCGACGGGACGTCTCGGGCGTCGCCGTCGCGGAATGAGGGGGACGACAGTGATGGGGGGAGGCGAGACAGGGCACTCCTTCTCGGGCCCTCGAGGGCCCCTTTGGGCCCTGTTGAGGGCTCCTTTTCTGCGTCCCTCGCTACCCCACCCACGTATCGCTCACCCCCCCGCTGCCCCCCCCCCCCCCCACGTATCGCTCACCCCCCTCGCTGCCCCCCCCCCCCCCCCCGCGTATCGCTCCCCACCCTCGATGACCCCCCCCCCGCTGCGCGACGCCCAAGCTGTTTCGCCATCTTCGGCCCCCAGGGGCCCTCGCGGGGCCCAGCGACGGTCGGTCCAGCAACCACGCAGGACGAAGAGCTGGCCCCCTGGGAAGGGGTCCAGACCTGGGGAAGAGCACTCCACGGCCCTGAAGGGAGTCCTGTAGGACTAGAGAGTCCCATGTTCGCCAGGGATTGGCCTCCTTGCAAAACCGCCCAAACCTTTCCGAAGCCTTCCGACAACCCTCCCGGAAGGGTTACGGGAGGCCTTTCGGAGGGCTTCGGGAGGGTTTGGGAGGGGTTATCGTCGCTTGGGAAGGAAGCCAATCCAACACATGCGACGTCCTGACTTTTTCGATAAGGGGTCCCCGGAAATTCCGACACTTTCCCCGGGACCAGTTTTTCATCCTGAGTCGTCTTTTGACGGTCCCGAGGCCCGGCGAGGGCCCCCCCGAGGCCGAACATGGCCAAACGCCTCCCGCCCTGATTTTCTTTTACGACGCGATCATGTCTCGGGGGGGGGTCCACGTCATGACGCAGGTCGTGACGTCGGGGGCCTTGGCTCCTGGACGTCCAGCGGGCCGACCTCTATATGACATCGCGGCGCTCTCCTCCTGCCTCGGCCTCTGGCGCTGCCCTCGTCACCACGGCGGGGCGATCGCGGGGCTCTGTGCGAGGCGCCGCCGCGAGGGGAGCGGACGGAGCGGTGGGCCCTCGGCGCCGGCCTCGGCGTGAGGGCGAGTCGAGGATCGAGGCTCGAGACATCGAGGGCCGAGGTGCTGTTCCGCCAATTTCGGCGCCCACGGGCCGCGTCTGGGATGGAGAAGGTCGCAGAAGAGGAAGAAGGATGAGCATGAGGGGGAGGAGGAGGAGGAGGAGGAGGAGGAGGAGGAGGAGGAGGAGGAGGAGCGAGCGAGCGAGCGAGCGAGCGAGCGAGCGAGCGAGCGAGCGAGCCGCAGGAGAGGCGTCCGAGTGACGAACACCCACCGCGTGTGAGACCTGAGAGCCACAGGGGTGGCGGAGGGCGGAAGCCTGGGAGAGGGTGGGGCGCCTCAGGAAAACCACACCCAAGAAAACCTCCCAGGCCCAAGCCCAAAAGAAACACTAGGGGGCAGGGTTCGGGCCAGAACGCACCGCTCCTGCCCCCCGCTGGCGGGGCTCCAGGCCACGGGTGATGCGGTCGATCGCCGTGAGCTGGTTCGCCCTAGTCTTTGGATTCTCCGAGAAACCTTGGCACTGCGCCCGCAGCTTGCGGGCGGACCTGAAGGACTCGGACCCGTTGAAATTGCCACCGCACTTGCGGCAGCAATACACGGAATTGACACAGAAAACATCATGCCCCAATTCAGCGAATTCAGCAAGCACAGGTTGGGGTACGTGGGCCGAGCCGCTGGCAGCCGACACCTGCCCCAGCGGCTGAGGAGGGACCGCGGGAACCGAGGAGGCCTCCAAAGGCCGAGACGTGGACCCCAACATCCTATCGGCCGCCTCGATGGCCGCCGTGACCCTAGAATCCGAGACACTAAGCCACGCCTCAGAACTCCGCAAGAAGAAGTCCTCGGCCAGGCTCTGGACAAGGGGCGAGGGAGCACATACACGATCAGCTCCCGAACGAAGAGTCTGGAGGGTACTCGCACACCGAGCGACACGATTGCACCTTCGACACCGATACTCTGACGTCCTCTGGCAGAAGAGCAACTCGTGGTCCTGGGGCCTCTCGAAAACCACACGCTTGGGCACCTGGGCGAGCTCTGGGTCCTGCACCACGACAGGGTCAGCTCCCCACTTCCGAAACTGCACGACCTGGAAGGCCGCCCACGACACATAGTGCAGGACCTGCCTGTGTTGCTTCAGCCCAGCTGCCAGACTGTCAGCCAGTGTCTTTGACACCATATGCGAAGCGCTGCCACACTTCGCGAAGAAATCGGCCCAGGCATTGCCGACGTAGGCCTCCAGCTCGTCTGGCGTGGCCGACCCGATGATGTCCTCCAGCTTCCTGTGAGCTGGAGTCCACTGAAACCGCACTGGTGGCAGACGTGGATCGCGTGCTCTGGCAGCCGAAAAAATATCTCTCCAGACTCGGGCGTGCTTCGCTTTGCCAAACTCGAGCCTCTGGTCCCAGGACGCACCTTCTTCCACGAGCGATTTCAGATCAGAAATGAAAACCTCATGCCCAGGATGCCACTGAAGTCCCATCTTAATGGCATAGCGCTCAGCACGTCCTACTGTCTGCACGTAGTAGGGCAAAGGCCCATATACAGCTCTGGCGGGGAGCCACGTGACGGGGTCCAGCTGGCAGACCGACCACCCGCACCTACGTACTTCAGGAATGCTGGCCGAGAACCCCGAACCGTCAGTATATGACGTGGGCCCCCAAGAGCCCGAGACATCTCCCCATACAAAAACCTCCTTGGAGACCGTGGTGTAGTGCGGTACAGGAACAGGCTCGGGAACCCCATAGATCAGGTATCTCTGGTCCCAGTCGGTGCACCCCAGCATCTGCCCAGACGCCTGAAGCATGTCACGAACCTCCTGAAGCTGTTCTGGGTCGGGGTCCCCTTCGAGGAGCGGCGGGCAGTCGTAAAAGATATGACCCCAACAGGAGTCGATAGCCTTGCCGCAGGCCTGACATGGCCTAATGGGCCTCCCGTGCTTCATGTCCCGACGTGGTGGGATGGGAAGGTTGTCAGCCCACAAAGCCTGCAGCGCTCCGAGGCGCCTGTGGCACTTTATCTTGGCGAGCGCGTGGCGAAGCGCACGATGCCACACCTCCGCCTGCTCGGTGTAAAAATGCTGCTGCAACCTATGGTGCTGCCATCGCTGAATGCCTTGATGCAGGAATACTCGTAGGTCTGCTGGACATATACGATATAAATCAAAACTGTTTCCCAAATCGTCGACCAGGATGTGCTCTGACGACATGGTCCAGGATATGCGCCTCAAAGTAAGCCAAGTGGCCCCGAGGGGCCCACGCGCCTTGGCCCAGGAAGGTGAACTGTCGAACTTAGCACCCAGACGCACCCAAGCCTCCCGAAGTCTGCTAGGTTGCACACGTCCGCCCCAGATCCAGGAGGCGTATTTGAGCACAATATCCGTGGTGGCGTTATATATGGGGTCATAACACTCATCCCGATGAGATATGAGATACGCTGTTACCCCAACCATCGTCTTACCTGGAGCACCATTTAGGACTGCAGCACAATGTCGTAACTCGCGAAGAGCGCTGTCGCTAACTCCAGCAACTGCACCGCCATGCGCCACTGATGGAAGGGCGCCCGTGCGCCACAGGCTGGTAGCACTCCGCCCCACGGCGGACTTCAACATGCGAAAACGATGCTTGCGCTCTCGAAACTGCACCAACCTACGCTTCTCCATATGCCGAAGAACTCGAGGTCCTGTGAGCTCGTGTCCCAGATTCCTCATGTGGGCCCTGTACGGGATCTTCAAGGTTCCCAAGTGCCTCTTGAGCTGTCCCCAAACTTTTTGGTTCCAAGGGATACATCCAAACTTCGGCGGTTTCAGGACCATCCCAAGATCTCCAGCATCCGACGTAAACGCCTTGGCCGCACGGGCCAGGTTGGACACCTCCCTCAATACAGGCGACACGTACTGCAAACCCACATCGTCCATGAGCGTGCGTGGCGTGATAGAAGGTGCAATGCTGGCCGTGCGCTGGACCGCTCGGTACGTGAGGAGGTAAAGAAGGTACGTGGCGTGCGTGCAGCCCGCAAGAATACCCTGATGGGCCACCAAGGGCCTAGATACAGACCCCAAACACTTGATCCTTCTCGGCTGACGGTAGGAGCCCAGGAGCAACCACAGGAGCCTCAGCGGGTACCCGAGCTCTCTAGCTTCTCGGAGAAGTGCACTGTGACTGACCATATCGAAGCACTTGGTCATGTCCAGGAGAATGGTGCATGTGTGCTCACCTAAAAGTTCTCCTATCTCCTGGCTCAGGTTGTGGTCGAAGGCTGAATCGGTCGAAGTCTGCCCAGCCCTTGACCCCCACATATGCTCGCACCTGTGTGTCTCTTGCCACTCCGCCGAAAGCGGCCGACGTAGCTTTCCCCACAACCTGACGAAAGTATTGCTGAGGACGATCAACCTAGTGTCCCCGTCAGGCTTGGGCAGGCGAACAAGCTCGCTGTAGAGCCTGTCCGTGGGCCAGGCCAGCCAACTCTCAAACAGCATGAACATATCGGCCAGGCTCTGCAAGGCCTGGTCGGACAGCACATCGAGCGTGCGTGGCGCGATCCTCGTCTGGCCCGAGGCCGTCTTCAACGGAAAACTCCTGATGGCTCCACGCACCTGCGATGCAGTCAAAGGCGGAAGCAACGGCCACTGAGCGTGATCGACAGGCAGCGGCAAAGAACACGCCCCGTGGTAGGTCCAAACGTCCTTCCACTTGTCGAGCGTGCGGTCAGCCATCTGATATGGCTGAGCGTCGTGGGAGTAGGCAGGCACCTCCTGTCGAGCCCGAACCTTGGAGGACGAATGTGCCCGAGATGCTCCTCCCAGGAAGGCTTCTTTGGCCCACTGCCTCCAGGCCCTCTCTGCCGCTCTTTGTGCCGTTCTCAAATGATGGTCAGCTGCGGCAATGATGGTCTTGGCTACGTCCTCAAAGTCAGCCTCGACCAAGCCGATCAGCCCTCGCCGAAAGAAGCCTGCGAAGGCAGCATCCAAGACACACAGCACATGCTCTGACCGAGCCGCGCGCCTATAAAAGGCAGCCACCGCGTTGAAAGCCACTGCGACCTTAGTGTACTGCAGCGGCGTGATGTCACATACGGCAGCACAAAGCTTGAGGCGCTCGATGTACCTCACCAGCCGCTTCTTCTCAGCCACAAGGTGCTGGGCCCATCGCTTCGCCGTGGCCCAGGCCAGCACGGTCGGCTCTTTGTAGGTACGCCTGCGTGGCGGCTGCCATGACAAGTGCTGCCACTTGAACTGCGGCGGCCCCTCGCGTCCGATGTACTGCATGGCCTTAGCACCCACACAGTCGTAGCGCCCTGCCAGCTCGTAGTCCACCCCTCGCAACACGGAGTCCCAGAGCGAGCTCAGGTCGTCAGTACAACTGACCCGTTGGAACTCTGTCCGAAGCCTGTGCCACGGGTAGGGATATCTAGCACAGCCAACTGGCGGCACCACCGCAAAGGGACGTGGCTCCACAGGGACACGGCACCACGTGGGGCGATCCTCGCCCATGAGCTGCAGCTCCACAGGAAAATGCGGCGGCGGCACGCCCATGGAGTCATACTGAACCTCTGGCTTGCCCTTGATGCGAGACGCTAAATTGGCACAGACGACGAAATAGTCTATGGTGCTCTTGCCTTCATCGGTGATGCAGGTGTGCTGGTCGGGCACGTAGTGGACGGCTGCCATGGTCTCGACCCAGTTGCGAACATTGAGCGCATCGATGTCGGAATTCCAGTCGCCACCTAGGATCCAGTCGAGGCCCCGTGAGTTCCACGCCGCAACTCTCTGTGCCAAGGCCCACAGGACTTCAATGTTCTCGCCCGATATGCCAATAGACGTGACGAGATACACACTGGCGACTATGATGCCGCCTGCCACTCCCCAGTTAATCTGTGCACAGACTGCTCGTCCTGGGTAAATAATATGCCCATCATCAGGTGGGGCTGTGACCATGATGTATGTCGGCACAAGTACAGCGACCCCTCCGAAGTTGGACGTAGCTGAGTCCCCCGTAGAGGGCGAAGGGGCCCATAGCCCATGCCATCCAGCATCCAAGGCCCTGGCCTGAAACTCGCCAAGCCTGGAGTCGGTAATCCTCAACTCTTGTGCCAGCAAGATAGTACCACGATAGGTAGCCAAAAAGTCAAAAAGAGGGCCGTAGCTCGTAGCATTCACCGTTGTGATGAGGCCCTTGAGCTGCGGCTGGGATACTGCATGCGTTGGCTGCACCTTCGCCTCCGTGCTCCCTGGCGGCGAAGGCGAGGTAGGTGCAGCGCGTTCTTGACTTGATTTTTCGAAGCGTAATCGGGAAGAAGGTGGGGACGAAGATGGCGCTTCATGAAATGCGCCTTCACACAGATCTGCTTCCCTGTCAAGCTCAACGTCCTCAAAGAAGTCATGATCGCCATCCAAAGTAGTGCACGCTGGGCCGCTCTGGCCCGGTGGGGCCCCTGGCAGTCGGCACCCTCTGCCGCCTGGATTCTCCGAGGGCAAGGGCGGTGAGCAGTGCGTGCCGCCCGAGGACGGTCGGTGCCCTCTGCCGCCAATCCCCGAAGATGAGGTCGGTGAGCAGTGCGTGCTGCCAGGGGCCAGCCGCGTAGGCGTAGACGGAGTAGCCCTCTGTGATGCCGTAGTCACCCTGGACGGAGCTGCAGGCTCAACCGAAGTAGGCGAGGCCACCGTCAGGGTCGGAGCTGTCCCCCACCCCGAGGAGCGGGCCAGTGGGGGGGATAATGCAGGCGCCGTAGTGCCAGGCGAGGTCATGGAACTGGACGCCGATGTGGGCAGGGGGGTGTGACTATGAGGGGCTGAATCCCTCCCCCCCCTGCCCAGAATGCTGGCCGCCGTCGAAGATGACTGAGGCGGACTCTCGACATGTTGCGCTGATGTGGAGCTAACCATGGTGACAAAAAGCCAAAGCAACAGCATATCAAGCCGAGCACATTCACGCCGACGTCTTGGCCTTCTTGGCCACAGTGTCCAAGTAGCTCTGCTGAAGGCGCTTGAACTTCTCACGCACGATGTCTGGGGTGTCGCTCTCCTCGACTTGGACCCCTGCTGCACCCAGCGTCTCACGGTACTCCTGCTCGGACATCTCGATGTCAGGTGGCTCAGCGCAAGACTCATCACCATCCTCATCATCGGGGGCAGGTGCGGGTTCAGGCGGCTTGGCCTGCGGCATATTCTGCAGCTTGCTGACCGTGTTGGCCATAGCTTGCAGCTCCTTGACCATGTCGGCGCCAAGGCCGAGGCCCGATGCAACCTTGCCCAGCTGCTCCACGCTGACCGCAAAGGTGGGCAGCAAGTCCGCCAACGTCGGTGGCTGGGTGCCCTCGGGCGGCTGGACTCGCGACATGGCGGCGCGAGTCTGCTGCTCGAGGCGGAGGACCTCCGCAGCCGCCTCCTGCAACTTGGAGTCCGTGTCGGCCAGGCCTCGGGTGAGCTCGTCAATCTTCCGCTGCTGCTCGTCGCGAGTGGCCTGGATGGTAGCCTGTCGCGCACGGGCGGAGGACAGTCGTGACGCCAATGACCTGGCCTGATGCTCAATGGGCCTATCTTGAAAGAGCTCAGCATCCAACCTAGCACGCTCCTCACGCCATTTGGCCACAATATCAGCATCAGCAGGGTCAGTAGTGACCCGAAGCAGCTGGTCCAGCATCTTGATACGGCTCCTCTTGACGGTGTCGGCATCCCCAGGCGCGGCAGCCCAAGGAGGGCTCGCACCTGTACCCGTAGCCGTTGGCCCTTGCCCAGGGGGATGCTCTCGGAGCTTGGCAAGCTGCGCCTCGAGCTCCTTGACCTTGGCCGCGAGCGACTGCTGCTTGGCCGAGGCGCTGGGCTGCGACGCTGCTTTGTTCTCCTTGAAACAGTTGCTCTTGTGCAGGCCGCACTTCTTGCAGTACACAAGGGTGGAGGCGTTGAACCACGGCTGATTCGTGACGTCATGCCTGCACCACTTGCAATACCATGGCGAAGCGTTCTCCTTGCGCGTCGGGGCCATGGCGGCGTCGACTTCGCAGAGACAAGCGGCGAGAGCCACGGCCCTGAGGGCAGCCTGGCCGTGGCGACAAAACTGGTGAGGGAGCCCAACCCCTCGGTGAAGGCGAAAAGCTGTCGAGCGCAAGCGCTCTGGCACTGCCGCGGACTAGCGGTATCCGAGAATGCCAATACGGGCTCAGCCCGCAAAAGCATGAGCCTTGAGCCAAAACGGCTTGAGCCAAAATGGCTACGGAGGAGGAGGAAGAGGAGGAGGTGGAGGAGGAGGAGGAGGAGGAAGAGGAAGAAGAGGAGGATAAGGAGTACACGGGAGCAAGAGGAGGGGAGGAGCAAAAGGACGAGAAAGAGGAGAAGGAGGCAAAGGAGGAGAAAAAGCAAGAGGAAGACGAGGAGGAGGAGGAGGAGGAGGAGGAGGAGGAGAAACAAGGAAGATGAAGACGAAGAGGAGGAGGAGGAGGAGGAGGAGGAGGAGGAGGAGGAGGAGGAGGAGGAGGCAGGAGGAGGATGGGGAGGAGATGAGGAAGAGAGGGAAGAGGTCACTAGGTCACTGGCCGCCTGCCTCGCAGCCCACGCGGGCCGTGCACGCGCGAGGACGCGCCCGCGCGCGAGGCCGCGCGGGCGGTGGCCGCGCAGGCAGCGCGCCCGCGTGAGGCGCGTCACGCGGGCTCCGCGCGCAGCAGCGGCGCGCCGCGCGGCCCCGCGTGGCGTGCGCCGCCGCGCCCCCGCCCGCCTGCAGCGCAGGAAAGAAACAAGCGGCGTAAACACAAATCCTTCCTCCTCCTCCTCCTCCTCCTCCTCCTCCTCCTCCCTCCTCTCTCCTCTCTCCTCTCCCTCTCCTCTCTCTCCTCTCTCCTCTCTCCTCCTCCTCCTCCTCCTCCTCTCCTCCTCCTCCTCCGCCTCCTCCTCCTCCTCCCTCCTCCTCCTCCTCCTCCTCTCCTCTCCTCCTCCCTCCTCCCTCCTCCTCCTCCTCCTCTCCTCCTCTCCTCCTCCTCTCTCCTCTCTCCTCCCTCCTCCTCCTCCTCCTCCTCCTCCTCCTCCTCCTCCTCTCTCCTCTCTCCTCTGCCCTCTCTACATTTACTCAATATGAATACTACTGTCGTCTCTCCCCTGAGTCTGTGGCGGAATCTGACTCGGAGTGTTCGGCCCCCCCATGCGTATTGTTATTCAACACAGGATGTCGGCGAGTTGGGTTTTCGCTTGCGTGTGTTTTCAAAATGCTGCTCTCGCTGAGGCGCTGGCCTCATTTTCGGGATTCCGCGCGTTCCGAATCGTGTTCCCGCTGCAACGCTGGCTTCATTTCCGCGCTTCCGCTCATTCCGAACTGTGCTCCAGCTGCGGCGCTGGCCTCATTTCCGCGCTTCCGCTCGTTCCGAATCTTGCTCCCGCTGCAGCGCTGGCGTTATTATTTCCAGCGCCATGCCACGGCATAATTTTCGGTCCTTCCAGATAGGCCCAAACATCTAGAACATGCCCCCTTAAAAAAAACGATCGGAAGTGATTACACATTCGGTACCGATTCGTTGATGTTTTTGGACCGCAGGCACCCCCCAACTTTGGGGCGTCCCCACGCCATGCTATGTCAGGCTACGCATTGATCGTCAACACCATGCTATGCCATTCAATGCTATGCTCTGCTACGACATCCGACTGTGCGAATAGAGAATAGATCTACGCCATGGTAAGGGATGGGAGGGAGGGTTAGGACGTCAGATGTGACGCGAGCGCACCTAGCTTGCCTCTCTCCTCTCTCCTCTCCTCCCTCCCTCCTCCCTCCTCCCTCCTCTCTCCTCCCTCCTCTCTCCTCTCTCCTCTCTCCTCTCTCCTCTCTCCTCTCTCCTCTTCTCTCCTCTCTCCTCCAAGCTCCTCCAAACTCCTCCTCCTCCTCCTCCTCCTCCTCCTCCTCCTCCTCCTCCTCCCGCCCTGCTCGAACAAGCAACAGCAGGAGAGGAATTATCTCTCTGAGCCCAGGGGGGGGAGGTGGGAGGGAGGCAGGCCTTGGCAGCAGGCGGCGGGGCTTCTACAAGACGCCCCGTGGCCTTCTGAGAAGCCGCCTCCGTCTTCGGAGATCCCACCAGCCCTTTGGGCGTGAGTGGTTTAGAGAGCCCGCTCTGTCCTCAACCCCCCTTCTTCCCCTTTGGGGAGGGGTTTACCCCTCCCCTACCCCCTCCCCCTGGGCCTGGAGAGGGACCCCCACGGGTGGTCAGAGGGGTCTGTTTCGACTCCTGGGAGGGCTAAAAAAACGACGACCCTCACGAGGATTCTGGCCCCGACGGGGGGAGGGAGATAGGCCCCTCTCCTCTTCTTTGAAGCTAAAATCATTGATTTTACTACGGTGTTGGCCCCATGTTGGCCTCCTGAGGGGGCCGCGCTCATCTTCCGTCATAGCAAATCATTCATTTTACGAAGGTTTTGGCCTCATTTTGTCTCTCTCAGGGGGCAGCGCTCCTTTGCGCTTCTGAGGAGGTCGCAAGACGCCCCAAGATGGCCCCAAGAGGCCCCCAGGAGGCTCCCAACAGGCCTCCAAGAGGCCCCCAAGAGGCCCCCAAGAGGCCCCAAGAGGCCCCCAAGAGGCCCCCAAGAGGCCCCCAAGAGGCCCCCAAGAGGCCCCAAGAGGCCCCCAAGAGGCCCCCAAGAGGCCCCCAAGAGGCCCCCAAGAGGCCCCAAGAGGCTCCAAGAGGCCCCCAAGAGGCCCCACGAGGAGCCCGAACGACTCACACCAGGACGAGGGGCCCGAACGACTCACACCACGAAGAGCCCGAACGACTCACACCACAAGGAGGGGCCCGAACGACTCACACCAGGACGAGGCGCCCGAACGACTCACACCACGAGGAGCCCGAACGACTCACACCACGACGCGGGCCCCGAACGACTCACACCACGAGGAGCCCGAACGAGTCACACCAGGAGGAGGGGCCCGAACGACTCACACCAGGATGAGGGGCCCGAACAACTCACACCACGAGAAGCCCGAACGACTCACACCAGGACGAAGAGCCCGAACGACTCACACCACGAAGAGCCCGAACGACTCACACCAGGAAGAAGGGCCCGAACGACTCACACCAGGACGAGAAACCCCAAACGACTCAAATCACGAGGAGCGCTTTCTCTCCCTCCTCCTCCGCCTCGTCCTTCTCCCGCTCCTCCCACAAGGAGGATGTACAAGGAGGCGGGAGGAAGGAGGAACAGGGGAGATATGCGGGGCCAAGCGGACACACGCCTGAAAAACACGACTGTCGGCATGCTTCGCAAGAGTTGCTGCTGTGAGATGGGCTGGTGGCACGTGGGGATACGCGAAGCGTAAAGAATTATCTCTCTGAGCCCAGGGGGGGGAGGTGGGAGGGAGGCAGGCCTTGGCAGCAGGCGGCGGGGCTTCTACAAGACGCCCCGTGGCCTTCTGAGAAGCCGCCTCCGTCTTGGGAGAAGGCTCAGAGAAAACTTCTCGGAAGGCCAGGGGCCTTCCGAGCCTTCTGAGCGGGCCCGCTCCCTCTCGCTTCCCCCCAGGCTCGCCGCCGAGTGGCGACGAGGGCTCTCCAGGACGAGCAGCCGCATCGGGATCCCCTGAGATCCGACGTTACAAAACATGGAAGCATGGTGAACCATCACGACCAGAGCCCTGGACCACATCCTTGTGCGGCATTTCCCGAGACAGATCGACCTGTGAGGGTCCCAGGGCCAGAGACAAAGCAAAGCCGCGGGTTCTGAAAAATGCGACGCCAAAATCTCAGGGTCTCTTACTCCTCTTGAGCAAAGCCGACATTCTTACAGGCCTACCACAAGATATTCTTAGAACTGAAACATGTCCTAATAACACGAAGCATCGCTCTTATCATATAGCAAGACCGATGGATCAAAACGAGACTGTCGCAGTTAGAAACGTCCTGAGAGCACGTCGTGCAAACCACGAAAGGCTCTCAGAACATCTTTGGGTGGGCCTATAGGCAAGTCAAGACGATTCGCCACTGCTTGATCCCATGACGCCTGGCCCCGCAGCAGCCGGGGCGCCGGCGCCGTAGACCCTCTGCAGCAGCGGGTCTGGCGCGTCCTGCGCGGCCAACTCGGCTCGGATCCGCGCCAACTCCTCGGGACCGGACGCAGGTGCGGCCCCCAGATGGGCAAGACCTCTGATGCGCGGCTGCTCTGTCACCGCGTGCGGTACGGCCCCAGACCCCCTGGCGTCGTGACAACAATCATTATGCGGGACGCTTTCCGCTACTTTGGGCGTTTGGGGCCTTTACAGGGCCTCGGGGCGTTCAAAAGAACGGCTCAGGATGATAAGCCGGTCCCCAGGAAGGGGTCCAGACCTGTATCGGCCTCAGAGGCTCGGAAGTCCCCCGGCCTTCTGAAAAGCTGCCCAAGCCTCCCAGAAAGACACGAACAGCCCTCTCAGTGGTCGCGAGGGCTTCTGAGAAATCCTGCCGCCGTCTGAGAAGGCCTTCTCCGTCTCACTCCGCCCCCCCCGCTCGCCGCCGACTGTAGGGGCCCACGCTAGGAACACAACCACGACGTCGGGGTCCGAGGCATCCGCGGCCTACGGGCATCCGCGGCCTGCGGGCTCGGGGCCTCCCGCGCCTCCACCCCCAGAAGCTGCGCACCGGAGGCCACTCTCTGGCGACGGGGCCCCTCTTGCCTGGGAAACCGAGCTCCTCCCGGCGCGCCCGGACCTCGCCGGCCATGAAGTCGGCGTAGCGGCGGGCGGCGCTGCCCTGGTCGTGGTCCCAGCCGGCGGTGACGCTGCTGGCGGCGGCGGAGGCCTGCTCGAACACGTCGGGTATCGCGTCCTGCTCGTGGAACGGGGCGTCCTTCGCCCAGGCAGACTCCCCCACGAGGAGCACCTGGGCTCGCCACTGCGACTCGTTGCCTGCAACCATCCACGCCGCGGGGGAGAAATACACCTCCTGCATTACCCGCGCCGTGACGAGTGGCTGAGCCTCCTGGTCGAGGCTGTGGACGGCGGCCGTGGTAGTCTTGATGTCCGCTTCCATATCTGAGAGATCAGGCAGTTCCAGGCCGCTGTGCTTCTGGAAGAAGGCGTCGGCCTCTGTATTGCTGGCCGTGAGGGCTGTCAGCTGGGCGGCGTCGTCCTTGACGAGCCCGGCGGCTGCCTTCGGGAGCAGGACCATCCAGACCAGCTGCTGGGTCGAGTTGCCGGCAGGGTCCGGGATCACCAGCTGGTTGTGGTCGCGGCCCGTGCCGTCGTGGCCACGGTCTACCATGTGGTGCGAGCGGAAGTGCTGCAGGAGCGGGGAGAGCCGCCGGTTGGCGCTCTTGCGCTCGTGCGGCGCCAGGCGAACCGTCCAGCCAACGTCCAGCGCCAGCTTCGCGGGCGTGAGCGCGACCTCCTCCCCGCCGCCCGGTGGATGCAAAGTTCTGTGACGACCGCTGGCGTCTATGACCCAGTCGTAGCCCCTCGCCGCGCTGGGCTCGAAAGTCTGCGGCCGGAGAAGGCGAAGGGACGTGCTCGAACCCTTCATCCGAGCGCGATCCTTTGCGGACGTAAGCAGAGCTTCGGTCAATGAGCAATAGGCAACCTCCTCGACACTCGGCTCAAAGTGAGAGTGGATCCGGCCGATCTCGGCACTGCTGAGGCCCAACCGACGCAGGCTCTTCTTGCCCGGCACGTCCACAAAGAAGCGGCGGTGCTGGCGGCACTCCTCGGGAGGGCACCCGGAATCGGGCAGGCATCAAACCCTCCGAGGTCTCCGCGGAGTTCCTGCATCAGCGAGTCGGCGCTGGACGCTCCCTCCCACACCCGCTGCCGCGGCGGGTGGGGCGCGCGCGCGCCGACAGCGGGGAGGGGACGGAGGTCCAGCAGCGAGCCAAGGAGCCTGGGGAGATCAGCTGACCACCTCCCTGATCCTGGACGGGCCCCTCCCGGGCCCAGGGTTAGGTCGGGCATGTCCCCCTGCAGGCGGATTTTGGGCGAAAAATAGAACATAGCCGAACCATATGCAAACATCGTCAACAAAGAATAGAAGCATCGTCCCAGACGATTTGACTATGTTTGAAATACTCCTCCTGTAGAGGCACACGCCCGATTTAAGCCCAGGGTCGGTGCACCGATCCCGTGCCCGAGGCAGGCCCGCCCCGACAACCTACCACACCGCCCCAACCCAACCCGAAAACCTGATTTTCGCCCGAATTTCGGATTGGAGGGGGGGTACTGGCTTCATATGTGTTTTTCGAAGTTCCCCGACCCCCCCCCTCCACTGGAAATGGCGGGCACATCGGGGCCTTCGGATCCGGGCTGGGGTGGTTCGGCGGGCGGTGAGCCCGGGAACGGCGATCGGTGGCCTTGGCTGGCGCCCCCCGACGGAACTCCGCGCGGAGCTCCGAGGCCCACGCCCCGTGCGGTGCGGTGCTCGCTCGCTCGCTTCCGCTCCTCCGGCGTGTGCCGCTCGTAGAGGTCGACGTGGACGGGCCGCCGCGCGCGCGCGGCCAGCAGCAGGGCGGCCATGGCCCCGCCGGGGCCCGCGCCGACCACCGCGACGCGCACCTGTCAGGGGCCTCCCCAAGAGGGGGTCCGAGCAGAGGCGGGGTCGGAGGAGCGCGCCGCATCGGACCGACGCATCACCGAGGCAGGAGCGATGCGTCGCCGATGCGTCGGCGATGCTTCGGCGAGGCCGGCGCGGAGAACGATGGGCTCCACGTCGAGCCGCATCGCCGATGCATCGGCGATGCGGCGGGATCCTCCGGCACCATCTTCGGTGGCGGCATGTGATAAGGAACCATTGGATAAGGAATCCAGGGTCCGGAAGCTGGTTGAGCCCCAGGCGTGGATTGGCCATGGGTGTCGTCGCCAACCTCATCAGATGATGACCCCTCCAGGGTCTGAAGCCTCCTGGGCACATTCCTTAACCAACGCCCCCACCGTACTCTGACCCTCTCTGGGAGGCCAAGAGCATCGGGGATCTACTGACCTGGGTCAACCAGACTGGGGTCAGCCAGGCTTTGCAGGATCTAGCAGAATCCTGCAGGATCCTGCGCCCCAAGCCCGGGTCAAGGCAGCCCTGGCTCTGCAGGATCCTGCAAGATCCGGCGCTCTGGCTGACCTGACCCCCGTCCCTGAGATCCGACGTCCCGACAAAACTGAAACATCGCAAGAAATCACGACCGGAGCCCTTAGACCCCATCACTCTGCGTCATAATCGAGCCAGATCGATCTGTGAGGGTCCCATGGCCCGACACTGGGCGACAACGCCGGGCTCGCAGAAATTGAGTCGCTTGGATCTCAGGGGTTTGTACTCCCAGACATGCGACGTCTTGGTTTTTTCGAAGCCCCGACCCTTTCCCCGGTACAGGTTTTTCATCCTGATTCGTTTCTGGACGGTCCCGAGGCCCAGCGAGGGCCCCCCGAGGCCGAATGTAGCCAAAAACCTCCCGTCCGGATTCTTTTTACGACGCGATCATGTCTGGATTGGCCCCGGTCTCTTGAGCCGCACAGGCGCCTGCTCCTTCTCAGGCCGGCCGGAGGCGCCCACGCTGCCGTCGCTGTGGACCTTTCGGTCGGGCATGTCCTCCTACAGGCGGGTTTTGGAGAAGACAAGAAGAATATCCCCAAAATGCTCAAACTTTGTCAAGCATAATCAACAAATCGTGCCCAGACTATATATTTATTGATTTATTTGCTATTTGGAATATTGCCCCTGTAGAGAGACACGCCCGACTTCAGTGGACCTCGAGGCCCGAGGCCCCACCGGCGCGGCGGCGGGGCACCGGCGCGGACCACGCGGAGCCGGGTGCGAGCGACAGCAGCGCCGAGGCCACCCACCACGCCGAACGGCGCCGCTGCGGCGCGGCCGGTGGGCAGAGCTGGGGCGCCATGGGCACCCTGCTTCGCGCATCCTCTGACCGACCCCCCTCCCCATCCCAGACACAATCGGGTCGCAAGAAGAATCGGGGCGGGAGGCTGTTGGCCAATTGCGGCCCCGGGGGGCCCTCGCTGGGCCTCGGGACCGTCGAAGAACGACTCAGGATGAAAAACTGGTCCCGGGGAAAGGGTCGGGGCTTCGCAAAAACCAAGACGTCGCATGTCTGGGAGTGCAAGCCCTTGAGATCCGAGGGACTGAGGATGCAAAACTGGTCCCGTGGAAAGGGTCGGGACTGCCAGGGACCCGTGCTGAAAAAAAATCCAGGCGTCGCACGTCTGGGATGGGCGCGACCTGGGCCCCCCTGGCCGATTTTGCCCCTCGGGGGAGGTGGGGATGGAGGCCGTTGCCGTCGGGCTTGGAGAGAGTATATATCCCCCACTACAGTCGGGGCGTTGACCTAAGGAACCCTGAATAAGGAACGAGGCCCGATTTTTTCCATGGGACAAAGCGGTTTCCCGTCGAAAACACCAGGAAAACCTGAGGCAAGCTGTGAAACACTTAAGGAATACGGAGCCCCTCCCCAGCGAAAAGGGTTCCTTCTTCAGCGACCCGACTGTAGGTGGGGCCTTGGTGGAGTGGGAGGTGGTGGGGGTCTGGATGGGGGTGGGGATGGGGGTCGCTCGAACGATGCTGGCGGTTGCTGCTGGAGAGCTTTCTTGTGGGATGGCTTCGGTGGCAACTCATGGGAGCCTCCCATACCATCTTACCATCCTGTCGGCTCGTGCGAATCGACGCGCGTCGACTCTCATCGACGCTAACGGACGCTGAATCGGCGCTATCATCGACTCCCAGACGCTAGTCGACGCTGAAAACAAAATTAAGAGGGTAGCCCTGGCTCCCATGATTTGCTACCGAACAAGGCCTGCCGCGGAGAAAATGGCTCCGCCTGGGAGCCTCTGCGCTCCCGCGAACGAGGATGGCTGCGCCCGAGCCCAGCGTCCTGGCGGGCGTGGGGTGCGCCGTGCGCGCGGCGCCTGCGGCGCGCGCCACTCTTAGACGAGGCCAGGGCGAGGATATGACATCGGGCGGCTCCTGGAGGGGGTCTCGGGCGACGCTTTGGCGCGAATTGATGGTGAGGCGACATACGGGGGGGGAGGGGAAGGAAGGTGCCCTCATCGTACTCGACAAGCCCCCTTCTGGGCCCCAGAGGGCCCCTTTGCCTTTAGGGGCCCTGAAGGCCGCCTTGACTGCAGCCCTTGCCGGCCCCCCCTCGAGTTATCGCCCCCCATTTATCGCGGCGGCCATGCCTCGGGTGACGCGGCCTTCGGGAACGCTCTGAGAGCGCTCGGGAACGCTCGGTGGCAACTCATGGGAGCCTCCCGTACCAACTTGTCGGCTCGACGCTAAATCGAGGCCAATCGACGCTAAATCGACGCTGATAGACGCTAAATCGACGCTAAATCGGATATTACCTCATCGACTCCCAAACGCTACTCGACGCCAGTCGACGCTAAAGGCGGAAGTGAGAGGGGATGCCAGGCTCCCATGATTTGCTGCCGAGGGGACGCGCCGAAACGGCTTTACATCCTCGTCCTATGGCCTCCGGTCCGAAACTCGGAGGGCTCATAGGGAGGGGCCCAGACCTGCCCACGAGGCGCCACACGAAACCCAGGACGGGACGTGCTGGGCCATGGGCCGGGCCCCGGGGGACCGCAAATCTTGATCTACCGACCAGCCATGACTGGGGGAGCTGTGGTCCTTACCCCCCTGGGGGAACCCATCGCATCGACCATCTCTCGCGAAGGGTGTCGAAATCGATAGGTCCCCCAGGGGGGTAAGGACCACCACAGCTCCCCCAGTTGTGGCTGGCCTGATCTAGCAAAGAGAGCCTATGTACCACCAGAACTCCATAGAACCCAATTCCTCCAAAAAACACCCTGCCGAGTCGAGCTGGTGGCACTCCGTTCTGGGCACTCTCTGGGCGCGCGCCCGGAACGGGGTGCCACCAGCTCGGGGAGGGGGGCGTCCATCCCATTAGCTGGTGGTGGTGGTTCTTTCTTCTCTGGTGAATAAAAGAGCGGCTCGGGACGACGAGCCAGTCCTGGGGAAAGGGTCGGCACTTGGGTCGGTCCTGGGGTATGAAAAAGCGTTCCCGGGGGAAGGGTCGGCACTTCTGGGGACCGCGCAATGAAACAGTCAGGACATCGCAGGTCTGGTGAGGGGGCATCTCCGGTTCCGGTGCGATCGCGAGGTCATGCGTCGGGGGCGTGGCCGGAGGCATCGACTCCGGCTTGTCATGGAGGCGGTGCGACTCAATGGTGAGATCGGGTTCGACAATTTTCGAAAAACACCGTGCTGTCTGGTGCGTGATTCCGTTGAGCGAGGACAGACCGTCGCGGCATCCCTATAGGCCTACCACAACATGTTCTCTGAACCCACAAATGTTCTAAGAACGAAAGCGATGCTCTTAAAACATAACCCCGATGTGTTCAACACTAGACAGTCCCAGCCAGAAATGTTCTAAGAACATTTCGTGGAAGCCACAAAAAGTTCTTAGAACATTGTTTGGTAGGACTATAGGCACGCCGAGACGCTTCGCCACTGCTTGATTCCGACTGCTGGCGGTGATTCCGGGCGAACAGTTCATCAAGGAGGGGGCGGCACGTAGGCGTCGACCATCCCCCGACGGTGGCAGCAGGAGTCTTAAGAGCCATGAGATGCTTCAACGGCCTCCAATGCTGGCTAAAAAAGGAAGTCGTAGGCACACGGCGACACGACCGGGATCCCAACACATAATCAAATGACATGTTTGGGATGAGTACAGGCGCCCAGAGGTATACAATGACGCGCCCCAAAGAGAATAAGATTGACACGAACGTGCCTTAAACGACCGTAGCATCTGCAACGGGCAACTGTAAGGTACGTGCGTTTTGCTCCAGCGCCGAGCCCCAGGACCCGCAACTCGCAGTGCTGGACACCTCGATGGAACAGCTCAGCTACGAGGTCATCGGGGGTCCGCGCGGGGAGAGGAGCAGGCCGGCGAGGGTGGGAGCGGGAGAGCGGGGAAGAAGACAACAGGTAGGCTGAGTCCCGAGCGCCAGCCTGGCGAGGGCTCCACAGCCTCCGCCTCCACATCCTCCTCCCTGCCCTCCGACCCTTCTCCCTCGCATCATCCTCATCCCATCCTCCTCCTCACCCTCCCCCCTCTCCCTCCTCCTCTTCCTCCTCCTCCTTCTCCTCCCCCTCCTCCTCCCCCTCCTCCTCCTCCTCCTCCTCCTCCTCCTCCTCCTCCTCCTCCTCCTCTTCTCCTCCTCCTCCTCCTCCTCCTCCTCCTCGCACCTCCTCCTCCTCCTCCTCCTCCTCCTCGCACCTCTTCATCGCACCTCTTCATACTGGGGCTGCGCTCTCACCTTCGTGGACATTGGGGCCAGCCACACTCAAAGGCGCTGTCCGACAGCATCCTCCCCCTCATCGCCCGACACCGACGACGACCTCCTCCTCCTCCTCCTCCTCCTCCGACGACGACGACGACGAAGACGACGACGACGACGACGACGACGAAGACGAAGACGACGACGACGACGTCGACGGAGGCGGGCGGCGGCAGCAGCGCCGGCGGCAACGGCGGCGACGGCGACGACGCTGCCGTCGGCGACCCTCGAGCCGGAGGCCGACGTCGCCGCCG